AAAACACGGAAAACCTCATATTTGGGACACATATACAGAAATTAGAAATACCAGCTACTGCAGCTTCTTATAGAGGGGAAGGTAGAAGGAAAACGTGGTCCTGGTAGACGGCAGGCGTCCTGGTTGAAGAACATTCGTGAGTGGAATGGTTTTGATTCTCAATCTTTAATAAGAAAAGCCAGGGACAGAAATGATTTTGCTGATGTTATCGCCAACCTTCATTGAAGACGGCACCCAAAGAAGAAGAGATAGGAATATGAAACAAAACTAAGGTTTAAATGTGGGATATTTGACAGCAATCCAGACAAAATTCAGGGATATCGGGAGAGGTTTTGCATTCATAAATTATATCTTAACGGATATTTCATTCGCTGTAAATTTTACGGAGTTTTCTTATAACTTTTCTCTTTAGATCTTTTACCTCTCGTTTTGCTACTAGGTGATCTTTTGTAACACTTTTGTCTTCAGAATTATTAATTTTTAAAAGTTATCTAAAGAGTTCTAAACAAAATTCGTGAATACCAATCTTTTTCCAGAATACTTGTTATATAGTATGAGAGCATTTATAAGCAACCATACAATGATAACCAACGTCTGCATAATATGTATAAATATTTTTGTTGGCCATCGTACAATTTTTATAACGCTGCTGTAAAGATATCGATATAAACGCAATGGTCTACATTTATTTTCCTTTCTAAAATGTACAAAACTATTTATTAGCATGTCCTTTTCCACCTGAATCGTCAAATATTCCAGAATAAACTAAAAATTTTAAAATTAGACCATTTGGTTCGGTCAACATACGGTCGGCGATCTGACAATACCTGCTATATGCGAGAACTTAGTTTTTACAGGAAATAAAAAAACGTTACCAATTTTAAAATCCTTTTCACCTGACCAATCAATTAATACCGTTTAAGGATTTTATTATTATACAGGTATTCTTCTTCTTAACGTACCCTATCAAGTCCCCGTGACGTTGGCGATTAACATGGCGAAACTGTCTCTGTCTCGAGCTATTCAACTATAAGTTGAAGAATATTATATCGGTCTCCTCTTACTACGTGTCCAAAATAGGCCATCTTTCTACATTTGATGTTATCAAGCAGCTCGCGAGCAGCATTTTGCTCTCTCAAGGACTGCCACATTTGTCAGCATAGCCGTCCATGGAATTTTTAGTATACGTCTGTGCAGCCACATTTCAAAGGCCTCCAGACGATTAATGGTGGATATTTTTAATGTCCATGCTTCGACACCGTATAAGAGGACTGAACAAATGTAGCATTTAACCATGCGCTTTCGACGTTGAAGTTGCAAGTTATCATTACAGAAGAATGACCTCATTTTTAAAAATGTCGTACGGTCTATCTCGATTCTACATTTTATCTCTTGATCTGGATCTAGTTGTTCAGTAATATGGCAACCAAGATAATTAAAACTGGACACTCTTTAAATTATATGACCATCAACATATAATCGTGCATCTTGATGTGCCTAAAACGGCTAAACATTATGTTTAGGCCAAACTCTCTTCCCACTTTAGCAATGGCATTTAAAAGGCATTGTAGTCCATTCATGTCATCACTTAAAATAACTGTATCGTCTGCATATCTGATTGTATTTATCAGAATTCCATTAACTTTTACGCCCCATTCCAAATTATGCAGCGCTTCTTTAAATATTCTATCTGAATATAAATTAAATAACAGTGGGGATAGTATACAACCCTGTCTGACACCTCTTTGTATTCTACATATTTCTGTTGATTTTCCGTTTATACAAGCTGTCGCTGTTTGACGCCAGTATAACTTTTCTATGAATCGTATGTCTTGACTATCAACTCCTTTATCTTTTAATATTGTAATTAATTTGTGATGCTGTACTCGATCAAAGGGCTTTTCATAGTCAATAAATACAGCAAAGACGTCTTTCCTTTGATCTCGAGATTTCTGCAGTAATACATTTAGTGCAAAGAGGGCGTCCCGAGTTCCCAGTCCATTTCTGAAGCCAAATTGTGTTTCATCCTGGTCTTTCTTCACATTTATCTCTGATTCTACTGTCGATGATGCGTATAAATATTTTCAAAGTGTGACTTATAAGGATTATCATTCTGTAAACGCTACAGTTTTTCGGACGTTATTTTTTTGGTAGTGTTATGAATTCGGACTTTAACCAATCTTCAGGAATATCACCAGTCGAATAAACATCATTGAAAAGGCTTGACCAGTATTCCAATGTTCTCCTCATTTATAAGCTTTAACATCTCTGTCGGTATGTTATCAGGGCCAACGGCTTTCTTGTTCTTTGCTAACTTTATAGCATGGTGCAGGTATTCTACAGATTTTTAGTTTAATTTTTTAAAAATAATATTAGATAGCAGGTTTTGTCACAGATTTTGTTAGAGTTAGCAGATACTGTATAATACTTATATTTTTCATTATTAACTGTTAAATTGTGTTTTAAAAATGTTTATTGAATGATTTGTCAAACAAAAATAAAATTAAAATAGCGTTTAGGTACTATTTCTATCTTGAACTGTTTTTTTAGAAGCTTGATGTGGGGTTAGTATTTCTTCCTTTTGGTCTTTTGGAGAATTTTTCTTTTTTATATGGGAGAAGACTTTAAAACATGTGACATTCTTTTGATATGACGCTCTTCAAATCTTGTAGGTACCTACAACATTTACACCAACGACCAACCCAAAAACCAACAAACAAGACAGTTTATTTACGCCGATGATACAGCTGTGGCAGCTCAGGGAAGTACCTTCAATGAAGTCGAAGTAAAACTGACAAACGCCCTAGAAGACTTAGCACTATACTATGACAAAAACCATCTGAAACCCAATCCTACAAAAACCCAGGTGTGTGCTTTCCACCTTAGAAACAAGCATGTCCGAAGGACACTGGAGGTGGAATGGCGTGGTCAGATGCTGGAACACAATGAGACGCCAAAATACCTCGGCGTGCATCTGGATAGAACTCTGTCTTATCTATATCACTGTCAAGATATCAAGAAAAAAGTAAGCGCCAGAAATAATATCATCCGCAAACTTACAAACACAAAATGGGGAGCACAACCACACACTCTCCGTACCTCTGCCTTAACATTATGTTTTTCTGTCGCCGAGTTTGGAGCACCAGTGTGGGAAAACTCTGCTCACGCTAAAAACGTCGATGTTGTGTGAAATGAAATGGTTCGTATAATATCTGGTTGCCTGAAACCGACAACTATCGAAGAGGTCTACCCTATAGTTGGAATCGCTCCACCTGCTATTAGAAGACAGGTCACGTCAGAGATAGAACGAAAGAAGCAGGAGACGGATCGAAGACATCCCTTGTATGACCACCAAGTTCAGCCAAGTAGATTAAGATCCCGGAAAAGTTTTCTGAAATTAAGTCGTCCTTTGTGCAATACCATTGACTCTTCTAAGCTCAAATTACGATTAGGATAATAAAGTTCTTCCATTATCTTATTGAAAAAGTTTATCATTGATCTAATTTTATATATTCTGTCTTCAAACACTTGTTCTCCCTCTTTGGATATTTACTGAAATACAAACATCGCATTATGACCATAAATCTGTTATGGTCCATAAAAGTGGAAAAAAGTGAATCAGCATAAAGAGTATCTTTCTTTTTCCAATAAACCTCATTCCTATACAATAAATGTTACCCATATGTTAAACCAATCCTAAAAAGTCTAGCAGTTCTTCGAGAGTCAAAATTTTCCAATTGAAAATTCTAGAATGTGTCGGTATGTTCAAGAAAACGTACTGGGCAGACGTGTTAGTCCGATCACATATTTGCTGCAAACATTCATCTGTAAGTAGCATTCGAACAAAGTGAACTGGATTATTATCGGAAACTTTTACTACTAATAACTCGTGGTGTTTTAAAAAAGAAGAATTTTTCATATCATCAAAATTTCCTTCCTATTTATCGCTTTCATCAACATCAACGAGCAGCATAGTCTACAATTATGTTTTAATTAAAAAATTAATATTTCAAACTAATTTTGTAACATTATCTTTCGTATCATCAATACGTGCTGCAGGTAAGTTATTTTCAATTTCATTGTCAGATTCTTTTTAAATAGTCACTGTCTGAATCAAGAAAGTCATTAAATTCTTCATTGATTGCTTCTAATAGTACAAGATCTTTTAATCAGGGTACCTGAAAAAAAAACAATGGTCAAAAACTAGGGTTGCCAGCTCTTACAAATGCGAGGTATCAAAGATAAAGTAAAATAGAGTGCGCAACGACACTGGTTTAACAAGCGATAATATGTATTTTATTATTATATCTATCCACGCATGCTTTAAAAACTCACACAAGTGACACTTCTAACTAGTAGCATTGCGCGCTAGCTGTCTTCATTTTATCTTTGATACCTCGCGTTTTTAACAATTGGAAACACTAATTTTCGAACATTTTTTCTCATGCAAATTTATATTATCATATTAAAACAATAGCTTTACTTTTATATAAAAAACATGCATATACATCATAAGCAGCGTATTTATTTAAAAAATAAATTAATGAAATACATTTTTTGTCAAAAATTAATTACTATTAACTGGATTAAAAATCACTTTTTGACTGGCAACCTATTATCAATATATACTCCTAATTTTAAATGTATGTAAAAATGTGAATTTGATTAACTAAGTTACAAACGTATTGATCCTGCAGTGGTATCTTACTCTATAAGTACTTTTGATGCCATATCCGCAATTTTCCAAGACATAAGGACTTACACATTAGGCCAGCGACTTACAAGGGCGTATATAAAGCTCTAGGCAAACAGTGTTTTAGTATAGCTTATTGCCTTTTATCTTGTATTTATAAAGAATAATCACTGTAAATTTAAGCGTATAATTTAAACGATAAAATTTTTAATGCTGAAAATATTTAGTAACATACGTAGGTATTTTTTTTATGATTAGTACCAGAAGAAATTTTTTTTCGATAACTTTTTAAAATTTTAAATTGTAGATGAAGAAACTTTACCTGAAGATCAAGAAATTACAAGAAAAATGGAAATCGAAGCTGTAAATCTAGCGGAGAAGGGAAATTTAACAGGTGCGCTGAAGATTATAAACGACGCAATAGAAATAGCCTCTAATAGACCATCTTTGTACAACAATCGGGCGCAAATACTACAGTATTTACGTAATTTTGAAGGTATGATTACTTTTTGTGAATATTATCAAAATGATTATTTATCGAATATTATTTCTATGCTATATATTTCATAATCATTCAGCCAATCCGTCGACTGCTCCCTCAATCTCTTCCAGTACATGTTCTCTACATTAGCCAGTTTTCCGCTTTTTTTTCAGTCGTCGGTACATCTAATTAGTGATCGTCCTCGGCTTCTTTTATAATTTTTTGGCTTTTATTTTATACATCATGACATCTTCAACGCCGATGAATTATATATATATATTTATATATATATATATATTATATATAATTATATATATATATATATCGAAAAAGGAGTACGACCGTCAATCCAATATATATATATATATATATAGATATATATATATAGTTGATATTATAGTATATATATGTATATATATAAGGATCACTCAGACGAGTGGTGGGTTCTTATATAACGGTCTCTAGGTGGAGGACCTGTTTCCTGTTTCATTTAACGCCATTGTTCCCGGCGACATTGCTGAGGCGGGGGTGCGGTAACTTCATTTATACTACTTTTTAAAATTTTATTATATCACTTATAGTGCTACCTAAAGGTTAAAAAAATCATAGATATGTCATTAGTGTTGGAAGTTATCTATGATTTTCTGTGTTCTTGCTCATCTAATTAACATTAAATAACATTGAATTTACTTTAGACCACATGGTCATTTGCTGTGCTAATTTTTATAAGTTCATATATGTTGTTAGTTACTTAACTGTTTATATACAAAATCAGCGGATTATGTCCATTTACTTAGTTTCATTCACATTATTGTTAATAACATTGACTGCTACATGTTCTTTTTAAGGTAACAATTAAAATCGTTTACCATGATTGTGTGGTTCTCATATTGTAAAATTTTTTAGATGAACTGATGATGCTTTCAAAACTCGAAAGCGAAAACGTCTTCAAAATAGATAAAGTAGCCTATCAACTTTGTCTTTTATATTCTCCACCTAGAGACCGATATAAGAACCCACCACTCGTCTGAGTGATTTCTTATATATATAATATATATATATATATATATATTATATTAATATGATATATATATATATAATATATATATATATATATAAGTATATATATATTAAATATCTATATATATATAGATTATATATATATATATATAATATAAATATCATCTTCACTCAGCATATTCTACCGATTATGTCATGTCATAGTCCCATCTTAAATTTTGACGAACTTCTTGGTCTCTTGACTCCTCTTGGATACCACAGTGTAATTCTAGTGGACCACCTGTTGTCAGTTATTCCTCGCTAAATGTCCCGCCCCACCTGTCATTTTAAAGATTCAATTCTATGGATTAGATCATAACCTAGTGTTCTGGTCTGTTCCATTTTATTCTTTTTCAATCTCTCTTGTTTATACCTCGCATGCCATCGTCCTCCATTGACCTTTGAGTGACTTTGAGTTTGAGTATTATCTCTTTCTTTAGTGTCCAAGTCTCTTTGTCGGATGACTCTGGTAGAGGAAATTCTGAAGTGTTTTCCTACATTTTTACCTTAGCTTTTTCGCTTGTCTGTATATATTTGCTAACGTTTCTATGTACGGTTTGTCAATGCCTGGTTCGTCCAAAGCTTCTATTACTGTCCTGTGGGATATATAGAATCGAAAGCTTTCTCGAAATCTATGAAAGTTAAATGCTAGCGGTATTTCATATTCTTTAGCTCTACTTATTAGTTCTCGAAGTATATGAATAATAATCTATGGCACTGACATCCACGTCAGAAGCCACTTGTTTTCTCGGGCTGTGCAATTTAATGCATTTGTTAAACCTGTTGTTTGATGATCTTTGGTGATTATCTTGTATAAGTCTTGGTAGTTAGACTATAGGTCTGTAGTTTTGATATCCTCTTTGCTACCTTTATAATGAATGACAACTATGTTCGCTGTATTCCAGTGGTCTGGTATGCATCTCGATCTTAGGCAGTTCGTAAATATGCCTGCTAAGATTTTCCAGGTTTTTTTACCAGCGTATTTAAGCAGTTCCACTGTTACTACACCACCTATTCCAGCTGCTCTTACCGCTTTTCATTTTTGCAATTGTCGATTCTACTTCTTCCGGAAGGACTTTTGGTACATCCTCTTGGTTACTGATTACTTCTTTAAGTGTGTCAGGGGCTTTTTATAATTATTTAATTTCTGTGTGTAATTCTGGTGTTTTCGTTTGTTAGAGCAACGATTTTCCCAATGATTAATGGGTTTCTTATAGTTTTTCCTGTTTTCGATTGCATTTTCCACCAGTCTTTCATTGTATTTTTTATGACTTCCTTAATACTTTTTCTTATTGTCTTACAAAGTTCTGTGTATTGTATTCTCTGTATGTTGCTACTTACTTTCAATGCTAAAACAACGAAGGGAAATTATAAAAAAATGTTTGGTTTGTCATTGCTAATTTTTTTATTTGTTTTAGATGCATTTGAAGATGTAACCAAAGCCATACAACTATGTTCAGATAAACACAAGAAAACGTTAAGTTTGGCATACTGCCAAAGAGGTATACTTCATAAAATATTCGAAAAGATAGATTTAGCAAGAGAAGATTTTGAGACATCGGCAAAAATGGGTAATAAATTTGCTAGGAAGCAGGTATGTTGAACAGCATGTCAAAAAATATAGTTACATATCTATTAATCAGTTCTATCAGTTCACCGTATAAAAACTTTATCTGTCGATATAGGAATACCTTTCTTTTTTCTAATGTCTTTACTATGATTTTATTAATGATTTATCTATATCTTTACCGGTATACTCGTTTATTACAAATGTCTTAACTGATATCATATCATATAGTTAGTTATCATCATCCATCAATGGTGCTACAGCCCTATGAAAGAGCCCCGACCTTACAAGTCTATTTACGCCAGGCAGTCCTATCCATTGCCAACCGGTGCCAGTTTTGCTGCGCTATCTTTCTACCATCCTCATCTACACCATCCTTCCATCTGAGTTTTGGCCTACCCCTTTTTCTGCTTCCCACGGGTTGTGACTACAGGATTCTTCTAGGAGGGTTGTTCTGCTGTGATCTTGCTAGATGTCCTGCCCATCTTAATCTTCACTATTCTTATAAGAGTAATACGTCTTTACCACCAAATATTTGGTTTATATCTGTGGTATACCTCGTAGTTGTATCTCCTCCTCCCAAACACCATTTTCACAGATGCCACCAAATATTCCTCTCAGGATCCTTCGTTCAAATATAAGCAAAAGGTCTTCGTCTGCCTTGGAGATGGTCCATGTCTCCGATCCATATGTCAACACTGGCTGTATAAGGGTTTTGTATATAGTTATTTTTGTTTTTTGGCTTAAGTTTCTACTTCTCATATGTCTACTCAGTCCACTAAATAGCATCTGTTTGCCATTACTATCCTTTGCTTGATTTCTTCCGTTATGGCGTTCTCCTTGGTGATCAGGGAGCCTAACTATGTGAATTTGTCAACCACTTCAAAGGTAGAGTTATCAACCGTGAAATTGGGGACCGATGGTTCCTGGCTCTATTGTTGGGTGTTGATGCCATCATCTTAGTTTTCTCCTCATTTACTTGCAGGCCAATAGATTTTTGAGGCATTTGAGAAGGTGGTATACATTTCTTCTTAGCTTGCGTGTTGTGCGGGCAACTAGGTCCACATCATCTGCATATGCCAAAATTTGGGATGATTTATAAAAATATTTCCTCTGTTGTCTATTCGGGCATCTCTGATTGCCTTTTCAGTGCTATGTTGAAAAGGAGACACCGCCAGCGCGTCTCCCTGTCGCAGCCCAACATGCGTTCCAAACGCCTGTGATTGTTCGCCCTGTATTTCGACTTTGCAAACCACATTACGCATTGTAGCCTTAACCAATCTTATCAGTTTATCGGGAATGTGGAATTCATTCATTGCTTCATACAATTATATTTCTTAGGACACTATCATAGGCAGATTTGAAGTCTACAAAAAGTTGGTATGTATCGATATTGAATTCATTGGTTTTTTCAGTATTTGCCTTAGCACAAAGCTCTGATCTGTTGTTAATCGACCAGGCCTGAAGCCACTTTGATATTCCCCGAGAAGTTCCTCTGAATATGCTACTTAGGCGACCATATATGATCCTCGAAAATATTTTGTATGCTGTATTAAGGAGGGTTATTCCCCTATAGTTTCTACATTCCAATTGGTCACCTTTTTGTCTAGCGAACAAACGATTCCAATACACCACTCTTCCGGATTTGTTCCTCATTCCAGGCTCTCAGTATTATTTTATATATTTGATTAGTCACAGAAGCACCTTCACATTTGATAAGTTCCGGCGGCTGATACCATCACTTCCTGGAGATTTTATTGTTTTTTAGGTGTTTTATTGCATCTCGTACTTCTTGAATTGACGGAGGTTCTAATGGTGAATTGTTGCTTGCTCCTCCGGGTGGTTGATTTGGATCTGGATCTTCTACTTCTATAGTAAGTAGTTCTTTAAAGTGTTCCACCCACCTTTTCAGTACTTCTTCTTTTGTATTTAGTATATGCCCCTCCTTATCCTTACATAGTCTGAGCCTTGGTTTGAATTCCTTTCTTGCGTTATTCAGAGTTTTGTAGAATTTTCTTGTTTGGTTTTCCTTATTTAATACCTCAAGTTCTTCCAATATTCTATTTCGTGATTTCGCTTTTTCCCTTCTATGAATGCACTTCTCTTCTTTTCTGAGATCTTTATATTTTTGCTGTTTTTCTTGGGTTCTTCTTTGCTGCATCAGTTTATATGCATCGTTCTTTCTTCTTGTAATGTCCTCACACTCAGCATCAAACCAGTCATTACGTGGTGGTGGTCTTTCTGGCCCTAGAATATTATTTGCTGCCTCTTTAATATTATTTTTACACATTTCCCATTGTTCACTAATCATCATATCATCATTATCATATAGTTATATACTAGAGATAAAACATTCTCCTTAATGCCATTATCATCATCCTTCTGGCTTTATAACGCTGTGTGGGTGTAAGCCTCCTCAAAAATTTCTCTCCGGTCGTCCTTATCCATCGCCTTCCTCCACTAGGCACGTATTCCTATATTTCTCATGCCTTCATCGATGTTATCAAGGAAAATTGTTCGGGGTATTTCTCTTCTTCTCTGACCATAGGTCAGACGAGTAGGTCTATCAAGGAGCGTTTTTCTAGCTCACCTCAGACGTCCTACCTTAATATAGTTTGCTATATCTAGTTCCTGGTATATTCTATAAAGTTGTCTTCAATGTGTCATACCCAAATTTGAGCGTAGGTGACTTCTTTGAAAAGAAAGTGTCCTTCTTATATACAAGTAAGACACTAACTCCCAAAAAAATACAAACTGGATGACATAAAAATGGAGAAAGAAAAATTATGGGTGCTAGACAAAGAAAATATGGAAATATACTACAATCAAACAAAACAGTGGAAAAAATCTCAAACACAGAAATTGACATCAGGAAAAGGCGTATGAAATTTAATACCTCCACTCAAAAAACCCACACTCTGGATAATTGAAATTTGAGAAGACCCCAAAAGCACAAATATAAATGAAGCAGCCATTACAGACAAAAACATCTTCAGCAGAGCCAAACTAAGCAGAAGCAATACAGTCCAAAATGGTTAGATAAACGAAACCATCGTTTTGCAGAGCATCGTGAATACTGGGCAAATAAAAAAACACTAAAAATAACTTATTCACATGGCTTATCGCCTTCCTTTATTGGAGAATTCGCCACTGCATAATACTAATAAATATTTTATTCTACAATAATTACAAATCCCTTTTCAGCAAGTGGTTATTGTAAGTAGTTATTTGAATTTTTTTTATTCTTTAGTTATACACAATAAATATTACTTAATAAAAAAGAAATAAATAGTTCTTCCAATGCCAAAATTAGACCCAAAATTGGCATAAAACTATAAATATTCCTCTCTGTAACAAAAAAAAAAAACGAAACTTTGATAACATTTCTAGTGAGTTGTTTCTTTTTTATTATCCAATCGCTGAGTTTTTCCACGTTGTGAATTGATGTTGAATAAATGACCAAATTTATATATGAAAACTTTTTGAAACGTTTTTCTCTGGTTACGTGTTGATGAACTATTAATATTAATATCTATTTTGTAGTTGATATTGTTCAGAGACAAGTGTGTTTTCCAAAAAGTGGTTTCTCGATTCACTGAAGCTGACAAATTATACCTAAACTGAGTAAAAGGATCAAACTAATTTTTACGTTTCCGATAATGACGCACATCATCAAAAGTTCCCAAGCTCTATGAATGGATACACATTAAAAAACATATTTACAATAAAATGCAGAATTCATTCACAGATCATTCTGATCACGTGTAATAAAATACATTTAGTATTATATATCAAATAATTTTGGGGTTTCCGATTTTAAGATAAATATTAAATTTCACAAAAATGACAGTTAAAATTTTGGTGAGAGCGCTTTTGGCAGTTTAAGTTTTGGCGAAAGCGCTAAAATAATTTTTAGAAATTTGTTTAACACTAATTGAATGTCGCCATTAACGTTAGTCTATTATTAATTGTATAGCTGCTAGGAACTGGTATGTATTTATTCCTAGGACATTCTGTAAGTGTAACAAGTTTCAAAAAGAAATATTCATAAACAAATACTATACTACCGTTTTATTTTTAAATGATTTCTATTTTATCTTTATTTTAAAAATATGTAGCTCATAAATTTAATTATTCACTGGTGACATCTATGACTAAATTAATTCAGAACTCAATTAAGTTTAGACGTTACTCACTAGATGTCACACAAATATAGCAGAAAGGGTTGCATAATTATTAGTATCATAGATTATTCATATTTTTCAGTACAGAATGCAGTGATTAAAATAAAAAAATTTGAAAGCAAAATTCTGGATAGCTATGGTAAATTACAAGAAGGCATTTGACTCCATAAAAATTTGGGCCTTCCTTAACACCTTAATTAACAATAGAATTGACGACCGATATACAAAAATTATTAAGTATATTATATAATATGACAATGCAACATCGCAAGTAAAACCGGAAGAAAACAGAAAAAATAAAATTGAGAAAGGTTAGACAATGTGATTCTATCTCACCCAAGCTATTAACTTTAGCCTCTAGAAGATGTGTTCCGAACTCACAGAATGGGGAAATAAGACAGAAGAATTTAAGGAAATGCTATTAGACCTACATACAAAATCAAAAAAAATTGACTAAATAAGCAGAAACTAAATATCTAACAAATACCTAGATATAACTGGACAATAATAATATATAAAATGCAGCATTCAGAAGATTACAAACAATATTTAAATCAAACTTACCAAATACTTCAAAGGTGTAAAAACTTTCGATCAGTACTTGTTGCCAGTACTGACATATCGCTTATGCACGAGAAAAGTGTCACATTTCAAAAAAACTACTTCTGAGATATTTCCATTTTAATGTCATGTCGGTTTTTTCAATTTCAACTTGTAGCTCCATACAATAACAATTTACAGTAGAACCTTTACAGTGTGGTGGATCGGAATGGTCTTTACAACCTGTGCTTATATTGACGGTAAATTAACCAATATTTTTCTAGTTCTGGCCAAAAGTGTCAC